GATGGGATTAACAAAGTGAATGAAGCATGGTGCATATTTATAGCAGTAAAATGGCCTAGAGATTTGCAAAGCATTTAATGCCACATTAAATGCCTAGGAATTTGCAAGGCATGGAACCCACTCCTGCAAGTTTTCTCCAAGTAAAACCTATGCTCCAAACTCATCTCCAACCTCTTCCCAATGCAAAACCTATGCTCCAACCTCTCATCTTTTGTCTTATTCAAACCTCCTCTCCTACCTCATCTCTTTCCACATTTTGACTTTAGTATTTACATTGACGACTAAAGGTACATCATATCCTTCTGATCATGTATTCAATTATTGCTTCAAAAATCAAAATAGCCAAGATTAAAGATTTGAGCATTAAATTGTTTGATTTTTGAAAATGGAAGACTGCAAACTACCAATGGATACACTGACTGATATTTTGACGAGGTTATCGGTAAAGTCTCTCATGCGATTGTGTTAAAAGTGGTATAGTTATAATATGTTTACTGATGATATCGAAGACTAACTAAACAGTTATACAACGAAGTTATAGTATACAAATTCACGGGTAGGGATAGCAATTTCAATCCACCCCGCGGATATTCACCCTGCATGGGTCGGGTTTTTTTGGGTGATGGTGGGTGGTGGGTCGGGGTGGGTCTTTAAAAAGTAAACCCGCAGTGGGTCGGGTTGGATTCGGGTTCTATTTACAAAACCCGCCTAGAACCCCACCCGACCCACCAAGTGTGTGTATGTATATATATAATAGTAAAATAAGTACTACTATGTAGTTATTTATAAAAGTTTATATAGTTTCGTGTATCTTTTTACTATTTTTATATCTAAACTACCAAGTTTATTTTTAAAAATTAATAATTTAGTTATTATATTTAAATTATATTTAAATATTTCTATTATTTTATGTTTTATTATCACTAACGAATTCTACTATTTTATTATGTGTAAGTAATTTAAATATTATTTTTTGAAAAAAATAATAAGATGATAAGTAGTGGGTACCCATAGTGGGAAACCGCACCCGGTGGGGGTGGGGGTGGGTTTTGAAAAAGTCCACCCGATGCGGGTTGGAGGTGGGGGGGGGGGGTGGAGAAAATATAAGGTGGGTCGGGTGATGGATATAGCTCACCCCGACCCATTGTCATCCCTATTTACGGGTTTTCCTTGTGTACAATTGGGACTTCATCAATTGTTGTTATATGTAAATTAATGATCTTGCCAATAATTTTAGACAACACTATTTTGAACAAACACTACTATATTTTAGACAATATGGGAATCAGAGTAGGAATCAAATACTTATAATGGGTTTTGATTCTAATCAAACAAATAGTAAGACATAAACAATTTACTTTATATTAAATTATAAATAATAAAATTTAAAACTTACCATGCATTTTAGATAATTTAACTGTTCATTAGATGTAATGCCCAACAAATTGTATAAGCTTTGTTAGTTGTAACAAACTTATAAGTTACATTGCCCACCACGTTTCTATGATTTGTTAAGATTATATTCCTTTCCTTATATAAATTGTCATTCTCTTAGCATTTCGTAACCATGTTCAATTTCTTTACAAAACAAAAACAAAAATAATTAATGTTGTACATGGGTGCCGGTTGTACATTGTGAGTAATGTTAAACAAGATTTCACCATTCATGACTTATAGCCTTTTGCTAACTCTAGAGCAAAGCTCAAGCCTTATCCAAATGCAAGTAAATATAACGAAAGATCACAAGTCATGAACAATAAATGATTATGTTCTGAAAATGACTCAAAACCAATTTCAATATATACCACCTTCTATTTCACCTTCTGAAAACGACTTAAAACCAATTTCAATATATAACACATTCTATTTCACCTTCTGAAAATGACTCAAAATCATAATAATAAATGGATATAAACCACTTTCTAGTGCCTATATAAAGAGGCCAGGAGTCCAAAGGCCCCAAACCTCAGCACAAATCAAGATAAAAAAGAAAAAAAGAAAAAAAAAAAGAATGTATTTTTAGAATCATTCATGATCTTATTCCTCTTAAATAGCATTCCAGCATTTTCCTCTCTAAAATTACATATACTAAATGATACTAATCGGAATCAGTATGTGAATCCACGGCCACAAACTCCCCATGTTCCACATCTTCTAACCCCACCCCACCCCCACGTAGTTGGACACGCTTTCAACTAGTATTGTTTTGGCCACATGGCTACTGCCACATGACTTTCAGTACACACCATCGAGTAATATGGCTGGTTGTGAGTTTTCTTTGTCATCCAAAAATTAAATATTCTCGGGAGGGGTACATCATGATTGGTTTGAAATTATTGTAAGAGTATTTCTATCATTTTTTCAGTTGAATTAATGTGAATTTTAAGAAATGTTATTAGGCAATAGTTCCACCATGTACACGTAGAATTTTTGACAACATATTTAAATAAAAATTGTGTCTTTAATTTCAATTCTACAATTAGTTCTATTCACTTAGTAATTTAGGGGAAAATATTTTACCTTCAATGTTGCAATGGCAAAATATAATTGCATTTTCAATTTTTGATATTTTTAAAATTAAATTATTTTGAAAACAAAGACAAAATAATTTGTTAGTTTGTTGCAAAACATGCACGTACTTGCTTGCTTCACTGATTGTATGTTTACCATTTTTATGCTAAGTTGCTAACAGAATCAAAGGAAGTAAAAAAGAATTGCTTATACAATTTGTTGCACATCACATTAAAGAAACAATTAAATTTTGATAATTATTTGTATTACACTCAATATATGTATGTTTTTCTTTAATTTAATGCCACTAACCACCGCCCACAAGAGGATTTGAATTTGGTACCTGTCATTTTCTTGTTTTTTTTTTTCCTCCCAGAGGAAAAAAGGTCACTTTTAATTATTTGCCTACCTAACATATGATATGAATAAATTTGTATACACTCTCAGATAGTAACAGTAGTTTTCCTCGTTACCCACTAATAATTAATATGCTAGTAATGCCTAATAACATTTTTTTATGTAACGAGAAAAACCTCTTGTGGGCGGTGGTTAGTGTATGTCATTAAATTAAAAAAAAAAACATATATATATATATATATATATATATATATATATATATATATATATATATATATATATTGAGAGTGATACAAATAATTATCAAAATTTAATTGTTTCTTGAATGTGATGTACAACAAATTATATAAGCAATTCTTTTTTCCTTCCTTTGATTCTGTTAGCAACTTAGCATAAAAATGGAAAACATATAATCAATATAATGAAGCAAGCAAGCACGTGCATGTTTTGCAACAGACTAACAAATTATTTTATCTTCCTTTCAAGATAATTTAATTTTAAAAATATCAAAAATTGACAATACAATTATATTTTGCCATGGCAACATTGAAGGTAAAATATTTTTCCCTAAATTACTAAGTGAATAGAACTAATTGTAGAATTGAAATTAAAGACACAATTTTTATTTAAATATGTTGTCAAAAGTTCTAAGTGTACAAGGTGGACGAACTATTGCCTAATAGCATTTCTTTAAAGCACATTAATTCAATCAAAAAATGGACAGAAATTAAATACTCTTACAATAATTTCAAACCAATCATGATGTACCTCTGAATAAACCGCGACTCGCTCCAAACCAATCATGATGGAAAATGAAAGAAATACTCTTATGATAATTCCAAACTAGTCATGATGCATCACTCCAGCGTGTGTATAAGGTAAATCTCAGTTCACTCCTGTGTATCAGTTCAACCTTAAAAATATGTTTTTCCTTTGCATGAACAATAAATGGTTACTTTCGAAAAACAACGACGAATTCTAATTACACATTCTATTTGATTATAAAAGTTCAAATAGCTATAAACCATGATGGTAATTACACATTCTATTTGATTATAAAAGTTCAAATAGCTATAAACCATGATGGTAAATCACTGTTTGAGGTGAATTTGGTTAACTCTTTTGAGGGGAGAATGAAACTGGGAGGCAATTATATAGGTAACTAGGAAGAGAGAGGAAGAGAGGCCGGGAGCGTAATGCACATTACACATATGTTGCATGTATTAACAAACAAATTTTTTTTCGAATCATTTCACCTAATTGATTATGGTGAAGTCATGAATATATGGATTTGATGGGTAGCACAATTCTTAGTTGTTCTCCAAACAATTTTTCTGTAGCGGGAGATATCATGCCTCTTTAATGAAAGTTTGGTTGGCTTTAATTTGTTGCGTGCTTTGGTACGGTGAGAAAGAGAAGAAAAAATATTTCAAATCACATTACAATATAAACTCTTAGCCATTAATTACCTGTGGATACTGGAAAGAAAACTGGGAATCATTTCATTATTTGGTTTGTTAATTACGAGCCCATATCTAGTTTCAAATTATTTTCCACCTTCCTTTTTTAATTGCGTTTATTTTGAGAATTAATTTCTCACTCCCTTATTATTTGTTTTAAACGTACAATATATCAATTTATTCGTCTCGTTATGAAAGATCCGAATCCATTTTGATATAACATAAATCGAAAGTGGACCCATATATATTTGTACCACAAATAGTCACTTTCTATGTTATTTTATGCTAAAAGTTCCAATGACATGAACAATAAATGGTACCCAATGGAGTAGCTCAAGTGGCAAATGAGCTTTCTTTGTGGAGGAGAATTTTGGAATAACTGGGCCTTGATTTCCACAAGTGACGATTTGGACTTAATTCCCACAAGTGACGATTCCCCTTGAGCTAGCTCCCATACCTCTCGGAGGGCGAACAGGGATATCCTAAAATGAACAGAGAATTAGACGGGTAGACCTGAACCGTTAAACGGACAGAGAGAAAACTAAAAAAAAAAAATGCTTATAAGGTCCTGAAAACGACTCAAAACAAATTTTGACCTTGAAAACGACTCAAAACCATAACAATAAACAGTGGCCATGGGGCTTTCAATATATAGAACCCTCACCTCTTTCGTCTCTCTTTGCTCTCTGCTCTCTGCTTTCAGCCTGACCGCCTCTCTCACTTCTCTGGCCTCTCGCTACGGGAGTACCAGCTACTGCCCCTCTCGGCCTCTCGTCTCCTCTCAGGACTCAGGAGTCCTCGGTCCTCTGTCCTCTGTGGCTCTATTCCTGTCTGTGCCGAACGGTCACACCTCGCCACTCGCCACTCAGCAGCCCAGCAGGAGTCCTCAGTGAGTCAGTGTCTCACCATCTCAGCCATGTTCCTATTTTTGCAATTTTGCCCTAATTTTCCTAAGTCATAGACTCTTAATTAGTTAATTATATTGATTTTTATTGGTGTTGCCGTTGAATTTTATATGAATGTGAACAGTGACTAATATTGTTTTTAATCAATTTAAATATTTAATGTATGTGGTTTTTGGATGATTTATGTAGTATGTGGTTAAGTGCTTTTATATCATTATATGAATCATGAATGTGAGCACTGAGCCAGTGAGCAGCTAAAAATATTATTTTTAAATCATGACTGTCATATGTGCTTAAGTGGTTTTTGGATGATTTATGTCTAATAGACGAAATGAGCAGTGAGTATCTCTAAATGAGAGTGTAGATCAGAGGAGTTTTCAAAACTAATGTTTGATTATTGGATGAAAATGTGCCCTGTGGAGGTAAGAGAGGTTATAACTTTGTTGTAAAAGTTAATGACTCCATTTAACAATGAGACAATGATTTTATGCTCCCAAGAGGCCTGTTCAAGGTTTCTCTTTGTGCTTAATCTGAAACTAACAAAAGTTAATATGATATATTTGGATGGATGAGTTTAGTGCCTTTTATTTTGTAACTTTGTTGTGAAAGTTTTGTTTTGCTTTAAGTATATACATACTAAGTACTGCCAATTGGCAATTGCTTGGTGTTATTACAATTGGCAGCATGGAGGAGAGGTAAATGTTGCAGATCATACAGGGCAAACAGCATTACACTGGAGTGCAGTTTGGGGTGCAGTTCCGGTTGCAGAGCTTTTACTCTAAGAGGGTGCCTGGGTAAATGTGGTTGATACATATGCTAATCAGGTATACTATACTTTTGCATGTATTTTATTTTTAGCACATGATACTTAACACATGAACCTTGTATTTCGAACATTTTTTAATTCAATTTACCTTTGCTTCTTCACACCCATTCAAAGAAATCTTGTTTCCGTCAATAAATGGTTATAAACCACTTTCTAGTTTCTTATATAAAGAGGAGCCAGAGACCCCAAACCTGGAGCACAAACCAAGAAAAAAAAATAACAAAAGAATCATGATCTTATTTCCTCCTAAATGGCACTCTAGCCTTTTCAATTCCTCTCCAACATCCCATCCCATATATATATTAGAAATAATAAAACTTTTTTTTAGTAATTGCTTACTTTGACTTGAATGTTTGTATAGATTATGCTCAACTGAGGAAGCAACTGAGGCAGAATTGGCCAAATTTGTGGGCAGAAAAGGATGAAACCTTCTGGTCCCATGAATGGCTACAATATGGAGTGAGTCACTCCTAAATCATTCACTTTCTATATCATTTTATACTAAAAATTCTAACAACATAAACAATAAATGATTATGTTCTGAGAACGACTCAAAACCTATTTCAATATATAGCAACTTATGAAAACGACTCAAAACCATTTTTCATAACAATAAAATGGTTATTCCTCATATATAAAGGGGAGCGGGAGGAGCGCAAAGGCCCCAAACCAATAAAAGGAAAAACAAAACAAAAATGTTAGAAGTATTGATGACCTTGTGCCTCCTAGGCACTCCAGCCTTTTCATCTGAATCCCATATACTACTAAATAATACCAAGGATGCGAATCAAAGTGCACAAGCTCCGCATCTTCCACCGCTACCTAGTTGGACAGGCTTTCAACTAGCATTGACTTGGTCAAACGGCTTCTGTAAAGTTGTTAAAGTCTTTACAGAAGCCGTTTGGCCAGGTCAATGCTAGTTGAAAGCCTGTCCAACTGGGTGGCGGTGGAAGATGTGGAGCTTGTGCGCTTTGATTCGCATCCTTGGTATTACTTAGTAGTATATGGGATTTAGATGAAAAGGTTGGAGTGCCTAGGAGGCATAAGATCATCACTACTTCTAACATTTTTGTTTTGTTTTTCCTTTTCTTGGTTTGGGGCCTTTGCGCTCCGCCACTCCTCTTTATATAGGAGGAGTAACCATTTTATTGTTATGAAAAATGGTTTTGAGTCGTTTTCATAAGTTGCTATATATTGAAATTGGTTTTGAGTCGTTTTCAGAACATAATCATTTATTGTTTATGTTGTTGGAATTTTTAGAATAAAATGACATAGAAAGTGATTATTTTGTGGTACAAATATATGCGAGTTCACTTATTTGGATCAGGTCCAAGTGGATTCGGGTCTTTCGTAATGAGACGAAGAAATTGATATATTGTATGCTCAAAACACATAATGAGTGAATGAAAAATTGATTTCCAAAATAGACTCATATACTATAAAACTAACACTTATCTTATTGAGATAAGACTTTGTTATGATCAATCTCGGAACAATATAGTGGCTTGCAATACTATACCAAGGATGACAATTGTAATGGTGGCATTATTTATACTGATAAGTAAATATATGAAAAATTCGAATAAATAAAAGTTATGGTTTGTCCGGTCTCTTATTTATGGTTTGCATTAGGGGTGTAAACGAGTCGAGCCGAGCTCGAACATGGGTTGGCTCGAGCTCAAAAAATTATGCACGAGCTCGGCTCGGCAATTTTTCAAGCCGCTCGAGCAGCTCGATTGCTCAAGCTCGATCTTGAACTCGAGTTCGAGCTCGAGCTCGATCTCAAGTTCAGGCTAGATTTTAATCTCGAATTTGATCTATTTGAATTCATATTTTAATTAATAGTAAATATTATTTTATATATCCATACATAAATAATAAAAACTTTAAAAAATTCAAAAGTCCAAACTTCAAGATTTAGGGTTTTCCTACTTTGTGAGTTTTGAGTAATATATATATATATATATATATATATATATATATATATATATATATATATATATATATATATAGAGGCGGGTTCAGGTGCGGCAGTGTATTACGGTGCGGTTATTTCTTACGGTGCGGCAACACCAATAGTTCACCAAATATGCACCATCAACGTTAGGAAATACACCACACAAAACAGAGTAAACAGAGCCCTGCATCACCAAACACACACCATTAGGTGTGAGTAAAAACACCATACACTGTTCGGAAATACACCATTGGGGGTGGTGAGTTATATGGTGTGTTTTTTTGAGTCTGTGGTGTATTTTGTGATGTTTTATTACATTTCATTGGGGTGTGTTTTTATTACATTGTTGGTGCATATTGTTAACACTGTTGGTGTATTCTAGAATTTGACCGCATCGCCGCACTGTAAGACCGCGCCGCATATGAGCGCTCTTCTATATATATATATATATATATATATATATATATATATATATATATATATATATATATATATATATATATATATATATATTTATTTATTTATTTATTTAATTATGGCTCGCGAGTGGCTCGACGAGCCTAGAATATTTGAGCTCGAGCTCAGCTCGTTTAGTAAACGAGCCGCTCGAGTTCGGCTCGAGCTCGATTTTGACCGAGCTCGAGCTGAGTTTTGACCGAGTGGATCGCGAACCGCTTGCGAGCCGCTCGGCTCATTTACACCTCTAGTTTGCATTGTCATTTCCTTATTGTTAAATATATTTATTTATAACTTTGATAACATTTATTAGTCTTTTTAAAAGAATAAATGCAGTCATTTAGTTATTATATTTGCATTATATTTTTATAATTTTTTTAAAATTTAAATTTATACATTTTTTATGACTACAATTTAATATATCCATAATAACTGTTCAACATAATATGACAACAATGAATTATGATTATAGACCTGGCAATTCGTGTATACGGGTTCGTTAACGGGTCAACACGATAACGACACGAACACGATAAGACTAAACACGGACACGACACGACACATTAAGGTTAACGGGTTGAAATTCTTAACACAAACACGATTTGTAAACGGGTTAAACGGATTGACACGATAGACACGTTTTGTTAATAGGTTTCGGGTCGTGTCGACACGATATGACACGAAACCCGTTTAAACCCACTAAGCCTATTTAATATATATATATATATTTTTAAAAAAAATATAGAACCTACAATTCAATCAAACAAACTAACAAAATATTCAACTCATAACTTTCATAAAATGGTGAGATAACATCCAAAAATCATAATTAAAGAAGTCCATAATAATATTTTAAAACAAAATTAAACACAATAAAATTTATATTGCATATTGTTGAACATCAATAATTCATCTGATGTAATAAATTCTTCCACAGTCATATTCATGATATCTTCTGTTATCTCGTTCAAGTCGGTTTGTCCTGAATCTACAAATTTTCAAAATATAACATTATAAGTCAATAAAAAAAATTAAAAATAACTAATAATGAAATAAAGAAAAATAAACAATGATTCTATTTATAAACTTTATTTTAAAAAAGTGGCATTACTTAAAATCCCCATACAACTAATCTTTGCAACAGACAATTCCCTCACCAACTTCTGGTTTAAGTGAGCTTCGGTATTGGTCAAGGACTCTAACGCCAATACTGAATGCAGACTTCGAAGCCACTGTAGACACTGGAATACTTAAGATATCTTGAGCCATGGTAGCAAGTTGAGGATACCGAAATTGATTTCCCTTCAAAAAATGCAAAATATTCAAGTCTACTTTTCTGTCAATTCTTTGCTCATCTAAATATATTTCAAGCTCAGACTTGTTAGTGGACTGCATCAGAGTTAGCTCTCCATTGAAGGATTTCATTGGACTTCTGGATGCGTGGCTTTCCGACTCACTAAATCTTCGTAGACTGGGTACTGACCTTGTGTGAGGCACTTGGGTGAGATTGTTCTTCTCTACCTTTGTACAATGGATTCTGAGTTATTGGATTGGACGCATCGGTGACCATCCCCCGATGTAGATACACACTGTATTGAACTGGGTAAACAAACATATGTGTTGATTTACTTCCTGCCTTAGTCTTCCGCATTACACTATATCTGTCTATCTATCTGTATGACTATCTGATCGAGAATCTGTGTTAATCAGTCCACTATTCAGATTGCAAGAAAGTAAATCAATAATCCTAGATTAAGAGAATATGTAAAATTACAGTTATTATTATTATTGCTATTGGTATACTCGTGTCCTTATAAGCCTTTTTATCAAATTATTATTTTTTAACATAACATTATACATAAACAAAGAGTTAATACCCAAAATAGTCTTCGACTATAGTGGTTTTTCTCAATTTTGTCCTAAACGACTTTGGTGACTTAATGTAGTCCCAGAGTTTTGTGTTTTTACTCAATTTCGTCCCAGACTTTTGTGTTTTTGCTCAATTTAGTCTCCCATTTGTTATTCCGTCCATTTGTTGTTAAATAAATAGACAATTCAGTAATTTTAATATTGGCATCTCTTTATTCATAGACATGTGAAGTGCGAAATCCCTATTTTTTTACGAATTACTCCTAGAATCACTTCTAAAGCTACGAATATAAAATTTGATTCGTAGGTCTGAGAGTAACTCTGGGTGTAATTCGTGTAAGAAAGAGAGATTTCTCACTTCGCAGGTTGAAAGTAAAGAGAGGTCAATATTGATATTATTGAATTGTCCCTTTATTTAACACCAATTTGACGGAATAACAAATGGAGGACTAAATTGAGCGAAACACGACTATATTAGGTCACCAAAGTCGTTTAGGACGAAATTGAGAAAAACCACTATAGTCGAGGACAATTTTGGATATTAACTCCATAAACAAAGCACAAAATTAGAAATTGTGAAATTAGTATTTAGACAAATATAGCAGATGATGGTGGTGGACAACAACAACAATAGAAATGGTGAAATTGAAATTGAAAATAGAAATGGTGAAATTGGTATTGGACACAGCAAACGGCGGTGGTGGACAGCAATCACAACAACAATCGAAATGGTGAAATTGAAATTGAAAATAGAAATGGTGAAATTGGTGGTGGACAGCAGACGACGGTGGTGGACAACAACAATAGAAATGATGAAATTGAAATTGAAATTGAAGCAACAACCCTTGACAGTGGCGGTGGACAGCAGACGGCGGTGGACAACAGATTTGGCCCTTGAACCTCCGTCTACCTCTTTCTTTTTTCTCAACCAATAGTGATGGTGGTAGGCGGTGACTGGAAGCAATGGCAGAGCAGAGCAGTGGCGGTGACCGGACGCGGTGGCTGGGCAGAGCAACGGCGTACCTGGGGTTTCTTCCTCAGTCTTCCTCAGCAGCGACATGCAGATCGACGGCGGCGACGTGCAGATCGACGGCGGTGACGTGCAGATCGACGGCGGCGACGGGCAGATCGACGGCGGCGACGGGTAGATCGACGGTGGTGACAAGTAGATCGGCGGCGGCGGGATGAACCTCCAACAGTGGTGATGGTCTTTGGTGTTGATGTAGTATCCGGCGACGGTCGTTGATGTTGTAGCGATGAACCTTCAGCTCCAGCAGTGATGAACCGAAGGATGGAAAATGACTTCCCCTCAAAAAAAGGGAAGTCATTTTCCAGAAAATTGGCCTCATTTTCCATTGAGCACTCCTCATTTTCCTTTGACCACTCATTTTCCAACCTATCCAAACACCAGAAACCCGGAAAATGATTTCCAGAAATCATTTTCCGAGTTTCCAAACAGACCCTAAGGGGGTGTATTCAATCACGACTTTTATAGAGTTTTAAAGACTTTTATGAACTTTAAAAGTTTGGAGGTATTCAATTCAAACTTTTAGAGAGTCTTTAAAAGTTAGGTGGTATTCAATCAAGATTTTTAAAGAGTTTTTAAAAGTCGTGTGGTATTCAATTAAGACTTTTAAAGAGTCTTTAAAAGTCATGTGGTATTCAAAAAGTAATGAACTTTTGTAGACTTTTTAATTTTAAGACTTTTGTAGATTTTTCTTCTCAAATATAAATAGTTGAAATCCAACCATCAACCTCAAGATTTCAAAATTTCTTTCTAACAACTTTGAATGTTTTCTCTCTCTATTTAAACTCTGTTTTTTCCCCTATTTAAACTCTATAAACCTATCTAAATTCAATAAAATTATTTTCTTCTTCATTATCCTATATTTTCCTCATACCTAAACTCTACCAATTTTCTCTCTCTCCTAAACTTTAGAATTTTCATATAAAAATTCAAAATAATATTATTTTTACTGCATTATTACTTGTTTATATTGATTTTTATTTTTTTCTATAAATTTTTTATCCCTAACTTTCTCTAAATACATGAACAAAGAAAATTTTTCATCGTCAAATTTTAGTAAATATTTCATAATATTCATATAAATACTTATATATTTTGATTTTTATTCTTTTTATGTTTATATTCGTAATATATATTTTTCCTTCTTTTTAACAGCAGATTATTACGAATAGCGAATTACTGTTTGCAACAACAATTTGAATATATCAAGTATAATTATATATATATATATATATATATATATATATATATATATATATTATTAATATTAGATTTTTATTTTTTTATTTTATGCAACTTGTAATTATATTTTTAAATATTTTATTTTATCAAGTCTTTTATTATAACTTTTATTGTTCAATATTGTTATGAATTTTTAATGAAATATTTTTTTTTGTTGATGTTTATTAATAATATATATAAGTAATTAGCATATAAGCCTCAATATACTATGGATAAAAATAATAATGTTAAGAATGATGATGTGGGTGAAGAACTATATAATAAGAAGAATTTTATTACAACGGAGTATATATTATAAATGTTTTGTAAGAAAATTGTAAATGATAAGAATCAAAATCATTAAAAGTTTGTAAGGATGTATTCAATTTAGAATTTCAATGACTTTTGTAGACTTTTTAAAATAAAAAGTTGATAAAAGTCTATGAATGTTTTTTATATAGACTTTTATAGAGTCTTATAAAGTTTTAAAAAGTTTTGAACAACTCTATGAAAGTCAATCAAAGTTTATTAAAATCTATCATTTTAAAAGTCATTAAAAATCTACAAAAGTCATGATTGAATACACCCCCCTAAGATTTTTAAAGAGTCTTTAAAAGTCATGTGGTATTCGATTAAGACTTTTAGAAAGTCTTTAAAAGTCATGTGGTATTTAAAAAGTTATGAACTTTTGTAGATTTTTTAATTTCAAGACTTTTGTAGACTTTTCCTTTTCAAATATAAATAGTTAGAAATCCAACCATCAACCCCAAGATTTCAAAATTTTCTTTCTAACAACTTTGAATGTTTTCTCTCTCTATTTAAAGTCTATTTTTTCTCCCTATTTAAACTTTATAAACTTATCTAAATTCAAAAAAATTATTTTTTTTCTTCATTATCCTATATTTTCCACATACCTAAACTCTATCAATTTTTCTCTCTCCTACACTTTACAATCTTCATCTAAAAATTCGAAATAATATAATTTTTACTTCATTATTGCTTGTTTATATTGATTTTTATTTTTTCTATGAATTTTTTTTATCTCTAAATTTCTATAATTCTCCCTAAATACATGAACAAAGCAAATTTTTTATCGTCAAATTTTAGTATATGTTTCATAATATTCATATAAATACTTATATATTTTTATTTTTATTATTTTTATGTTTATATTCGTAATATATATTTTTCCTTTTTTTTAACAACAGATTACTACGAATACCGAATTACTGTTTGCAACAACGATTTGGGGTTGCAAATAGTAGCACATTCTTGTTATTCACAGTCTCAAATTGCTATTGCAAATAATATTTCTTTGCATGATGCCTATCAATAAAAGTATAATTTTTAAAATATATTATTAACATTAGATTTTTTTTTTTATTTTATGCAACTTGTAATTATATTTTTTAAATACTTTATTTGATCAATTCTTTTATTATACATTTTGTTGTTCAATATTGTTATGAATTTCTAATGAAATAATTTTTTTTTTATGTTTACTAATAATATATATAAGTAATTAGCATATAAGTCTCATCATACTATGGATAAAAATAATAATGTTGAGAATGTTGATGTGGGTGAAAAACTATATAATAGGAAGAATTTTATGATATATTATAAATGTTTTGTAAGAAAATAATAAATGATAAGAGTCAAAGTCATTGAAAGTTTGTAAGGATGTATTCAATTTAGAATTTCAATGACTTTTGTAGACTTTTTAAAATAAAAAGTTGATAAAAGTCTATGAATGTTTTTTATATAGACTTAGAGTCTTATAAAGTTTTAAAAAGTTTTGAACGACTCTATGAAAGTCAATCAAAGTTTATTAAAATCTATCATTTTAAAAGTCTTTAAAACTCTACAAAAGTCATGATTGAATACACCCCCTTTAATTCCCACCTAATTCCAAAGGCCATTAAATTCCGTAGTTTGGTTGGAGGGAATTACAATTCCATGGAATTGCAATTCCTCCATTTTCATGGAATTAAAATCCTATATTGGGATTTTAATTCCTGGAAAAAAAAGATAGTGATGAGTCAAAATTACCCCTTCCTTTTTTAACCTAAAATTAATGTCTAACAACAATAATGGACATTTTTGACTTTATACTACTTATTCCCTTTCAATTCTCATGTATACCAAACATTGGAATTGAAATTCCAAGTAATTCTATTCCTGTCAACCAAACACTGGAATTTAAATTCCCACTTTATTCCCAGTAATTCAACTCCCATGGAATTACAATTCCTTTCCCACATAATTCCTCCCCTCCAACCAAACGCCCTGTAAGTTTATTTCATTCGGGGCACACTTTCGAATAGTAATATAAGATTCAATGTAAACTAAAAAATAACATAAAATCATATTTTATTTATAAATTGCCATATTAAGGAAAGTAAAAAAGAAATGGTGTTTGGTTTACGCGTTCGGAGGATTAGTTGTGATTTGTAGTGTGGTTATCTGGACATAACTATCTGTTGTAATAATTAATGGAAAATTATATCATGCATCAGGGTGCACAATGCATTGTGCGCT